TCTAACATCTTTCAAGTTTCGTGGTGTAGGCCATTCTGATACTGCCTTAACTTTGGCGGGGTCCATAGAGACCTGTCCCTTCTGTATGACAAGACCTAAGTATTCAACTGAATCTTTCTCGAATTCGCACTTCTCCGGACGTAGGTAAAGGTCATGTTTTTCTAGACGACTGAGTACTTCTCGTACGATTTCCCTGTGCTCTTCTAGAGTTTCTGTGAACACAAGTATATCGTCGAGGTAAACAGCGACCTTTCCTTGTGCTACTAAGTCCGCAAAGATAGTGTTCATAAGTGCTTGGAATGTGGCAGGGGCATTCGTGAGTCCGAAGAACATTACATTAGGTTCGAATAGTCCACGGCTTGTGGTGAATGCCGCTTTCCATTCATCCCCTTCTGCAATACGAATATTGTAGTAGCCCCACCGTACATCCATCTTCGAGAAAACCTTGGCTCCACGCAAACGGTTTATGATGTCTTGTGCAAGAGGGAGCGGATAGCGATTCTTTACAGTATACTCATTGAGCTTTCTGTAGTCCTGAATTAATCACAATTTTCCGTCCTTTTTCTTGATGAAGAATACAGGTGATGACATAGGGGATTTCGATGGTTGAATATATCCCTTGTCCATCTGTTCCTTCAGGAATTTGTCTAGTTCCTGTTCTTCATTGTACGACATAGGGTACACCTTTGACCGTAGCGTATCTGGAGCGTCTGGTTTCAGATCGATCTTGTGATCCCAAGGCTGGTGCTCTGGCAATCGCTGACTTTCTTCCTCAGAGAAGACCTTTTTGAAACCTCTATAGGGTTCTGGTACTATCTCTTCAAACGTCTTAGGTGCTTCGCTCTTTGCTTTAGCTGCCTCCTCAGCAATACGTTGGCTGTGAGTATAGCTAGCGCAGCACCAGACTTCGTCGGATATTGTGTCAGTGATTCCATCTTTCACCCAGCGCTTGCGGATTGTTCTAGATGCATTGATCTTGTACACCGTCTCCTCCTCCTCATCCTCTCCTCCGTCATCATCCACTCCTATCTCATAATCCGTCACCTCTTCCTTCACTCCTACCCGACCTGTCTCCCAGTCGATCTCAGGGTTTACTCTTCGAAGCCATGGAAGCCCAAGGATCATATCTTCTGCAGATAGGTTCGTAATCAAGAACTCTACCCACTCCTTGTAGTCACCAGCGGTTAGCTGTACCCGTACATAGTGGGTCATTGCTCCGGCCTGGTTAGGCGTTCCATCGATGTTGCGTACATAAATTGGGCATGGTAGTTCATGCAGCAACATCCTATTGCGCTCCGCGTATCTCTTGTTCATGAAGAGACACGTTGCCCCCGAATCGACCATAGCTGTGGCTCGTATCGATTTATTCAGACCCCCAAGAATAACAGGAATATATAAATGACCAGAATGAAAAGAACCAACAACGTAAGAAGAAGAAATGTATTCTGCCAAATAACCTCCATCCGGAACTTGTTGTTTTGGTGTTGGATTCGGGCTACTTGGTTTTTTAATGTTTTCGTTATTTTTATAGAAAGATTTTTGTCTAGTATTTTTATCAAAAGTGGAAGATGATATGAAAGTGGGAGTTGAATCCCGAATAGTGTACATAAAAGGAGGGGTTGCGCCCTCATTGTTCAAAGCACAATCCGAGTCAAGAATATCAAAAGAATTGGAACTAACTAAAGCAGGGGCATTACCCGATCTGCCTGTGAGACATTGTCCTTGAGAATTGAAAGAAATAGAAACAGAATCAAAAATGGAAAAGGGGGTCTTCAGTCCGTCTTTACGCCCTGACCTGTTTACAGCTATGTACAGGTCGTCCTCTAAAAAGCCGCCTTGATCTTCTCATGCTCCTCCATCAGAGCCGCCATCTTCTCCTCCAACGCTTTCCACCAGGGCCTGTAGCCTCATTATAATGTTGCATGGTTAACCCATCCAGCTCCATTGTAATGTTTCACGGGTCTTCCCTGCACTGCCACATACTGCCAGAAAGCCTGTACTGTACCGGCCAAATTGGGACATCAACAAATATCTGCATTGCTTGTTTTGTTTTTCATGATAAATGCCGGGTTCAGAATGTCCCAAAAAGGATAAAAATGGGTAGGCTGCTTTGTGCTCGAAGGTGTGGCACCAGAATGTTCATTTTAGATGTGGCCCAACCTGTAGTGCTTTGGCCCGGCTGGTTAGCTGGCTTTTGGGTGACCGCGTGGGCTCTAGGGGCGGGTTGGGGACCCGGTAGGGGTTGCTAGGGCGGGGATGGGGTGCTGGGGTACTGGATAGGGGGTAGGAAAATGGGTAGGGGGTGGGGGTAGATGGGTAGCAGGCTGGTAGGGCGCTGTATACATGAATTGGGTGGGTGTTGGCTGGATTTTGGGTACTGGGGACAATACTGGGTGTACTGGGGTAGTATTAGGTGCGATAAAAATCGGGGAAAATAGGGAAATAATAGTAGGGATGCTAGGGTAGGCCTAGCAGGTGCTGGTTTCTGGTTTGTTAGGGGGTTAGGGGGTGTTTTGGGAGTGTTTTGGTAACTTTGCGAGTTTTGTGATTTAGAATGAATGAATTGCATTGCTGGGTGTCGTTTCAATGGAATCAGCGTATAAAATGTAAATCGGCGAGGTGATTTCGCCAACATGAAGGAGCCCGATTTTGGGGGTTCTGACTATTTGACAAACATTTATAAATGTATAGGACGCTCAAAATCAATTTTTGAAGGAATCAGTCCATTCGTTCCAAAGTTATAGCGTAAACGGTTAGAAAGATATTGCCCCAGCGAGGTTACAGGGGGTCGGGAGGCCAGAACTTCAGATACAACGGTTCGATTTACCTGGTTTTTGCTGTCACGGGTGGGCGGACATCAAAACTTAACTATGGGCACCACTCGGGGCCCAAAAACAGCGACCATCTCATTGGTAGTGGTGCGGCGTCTAGGGGGGGGAGGAGGAGAATATCTACCCTGGGGGTATTACCATGGTTAGAATGTTTGGTAATGTTGAAGCAATGATTGGACAATATAGTTTGATGTTTGGGAAGTCGATCTACGGTGCAACATCAGTCAAAATGCTTCTGCATCAATTGTGGGG